AACAAGATACACCAGTTTCATTCTATTAACAAGATACACCAGTTTCATTCTATTAACAAGATACACCAGTTTCATTCTATTAACAAGATACACCAGTTTCATTCAATTAACAAGATACACCAATTTCATTCTCTGAACAAGATACACCAGTTTCATTCTATTAACAAGATACACCAATTTCATTCTCTGAACAAGATACACCAGTTTCATTCTATTAACAAGCTACACCAGTTTCATTCTATTAACAAGATACACCAGTTTCATTCAATTAACAAGATACAGCAGTCTAATCTTCTGAAACTATAAAATAGGCTAAATTTCTGATAATAACACACCAGTCTGAACTTTGAAAACAAAATAAATCATCATAAATTCCTCAAATCAATACATCAGTCTATGTTTCTGAAAAGAATGTGCTACTCTAGAAGAGATATCCCCGCCTTGGATGTTCTAAATCCCTCGTCTGAATTTATGAATATTTTTGTGTAAGAAAATGCAGTTACATTTACATTACCCTTCCCAAAAGCGAACAGTTTTCAGTGCCATTACACTACCTACCCAACGCCGAACAATGTAAAAAATGTAGCTCTGATACATACCGTTCCATCGTAACTTTATATCGGCTGTAGTTTTCATGAGACTCGCTGATTTGTTTATTGAAAATCGTTTTAATACAACGTACTCAGTCCTCTGTATTGTATGGAATTAACTCAGTGGAAAATCTCCACGCGTTGGAATCAATAAAAGGAAAATAAGAGGTAGAAAAATTTCAACAGATCTTATATATATATATTTATACTAATAAGCTTATCATCATACGCCCTCCTCAAAAAACAATGTCTGTGGGAGTGGGGAAGGAGAAAGTATTAATAAGTATAAAGTGTTAGACATATTAAAAACAAAATGAAAGATGATAAGATCTTGACCCTTTCAACAAAACAGTATAATAACCTAAATTGGTGATTATAAACTTCGATCAACTTTTGAAATACTTCGTTTTATGTTTCGTTGTGTTTAGTTTCCCCGAAGTAGTAACGTTAGACTGAGTACAGCTTGTGTGTAGGCAGTTAACTGAGTGGAAAATTTCCACGTGATGATGAAATTAACGGGATGAAAAACTCAAACGTTATTTCCTTTCTTTTTTTTTTGGCAGTACCAAAGTAATATTATTAAACTTTATGTCACCACGTGTCTTCTTGAAAAATATGTTGACGAGGTAAAAAAAAAAAAAAGTTTGACGCCCTGTGATAGGACTCTGGATTTGGATGTTGACGAGCCGGGTTCGAATCCATACTAAACCATAAAATATTCTCTGAGTGCTATGAGTGCATTATAAAAGTGACAGCCAATCTCTAAGCGTGGATGTTGGGTGGAGGGGTGCTACTGACAAATTTTTTGACCAAATTAGGTAATGTGGCTGATAGCCTTAGTAACTTTGCCATAAACAGAAAGATAGAAATTGTCATAAAGATCGTTAGAAATGGGGAAAAAATAATAATTACAAACATTTACACTCTGAGTTAGAATAAGAGGGAGTAATTAGTATTGAAATTATATTACAAGTAAGAATAATAATATTAAGTGATAGCAAGAAAAATAACTGAAACATTAACAAGATATTAATAAGAAAACATCATATCTGTAGAACGTAAGAGAATGCAAGATATAGTAATTGCAAGTGAATTACTAAAACATGAGTATGTGAAATTAAAGATTACTTAACATTTCTGGGGAATATATATCACAGCAACTTGTGCCAGGTGAGAAACTGCGATGCATTACAGTTGTTAAGTAAAAAAAATGCCGAGGCACTTCATCTACGTTCGAGAAATGTAAACTCCCTCGAGCTGACGCGATCATGGACTTGTCCGTTTCCAGCTGTACTCTACTCATAACAACTTACGACAAAGCCGGGAAAGACGCATCGCGACATAACTTTGTGTTACCGAAGGGTGAGTTTGTTTTCCAGGTTGTGGTTGCTATTTGTAATTCTGGAAAATTACACGTAATATTTTCAATTATTTATTATACCTGTTTGTAAATATGGTAATAACCTTGTACCTTCCTATGTTGTTTAGTGTTATTACTATTACAAACATCAGTTTAATTTTAGACGTTTCTTAAAAATATGCAAGATACTGCTACTAGGGCTAGTGAGTGCTACTACTCATTCCGTTAGTACTAGTACTAAGCCTACTCGCACAGATTCTTAATTTGTACAACTAAACAAGTGTAGTTCAACGCATGAACTTGTATTAAATTATTATGATCTTAAAAAAAAAATACTGAGCGAAACGTAAGGACGTCTTAGAAACTCTAGCCTTGAAAGAGACTTAGTTTTTCGGTATTAAAGTTCAGTAGGTAGACCAAAAAAAATCAAGCCAAAAATGATTTCTGTGTATGCCACTGTCAGTGCATCGTCTGTCACAATCTTACGTTACTCATATCTGTTTATTATGACATTGTGATGTAAAAACGTAGTGTGGAAATTTGACTATGGTCTGCTCCAGTGTTGCTTCTTAAACCAAGCCTTAGCGCCTTAACTTTCAGCCTTAAGGAGTAAATGAGTTGTAGCCTTAATTAAGAAACGAAATATTAGTAGTACTTTTATTACTGTGATGTAAAAACGTAGTGTGGAAATTTGACTATGGTCTGCTCCAGTGTTGCTTCTTAAACCAAGCCTTAGCGCCTTAACTTTCAGCCTTAAGGAGTAAATGAGTTGTAGCCTTAATAAGAAACGAAATATTAGTAGTACTTTTATTA